GTCGATCAGTTTAGCAGGTTCTCTGGCCACAAGGTTAATTCTAGCAAAACCAAAGTATTCTTCTCTGCCAACACTGATGATTTATTGGCCAACAATATTTGTAATGGGTTAGGGTTTCAACGCTCAAATTATCTCAGTAAATACTTAGGTATGCCTCTCTTCCATAGTAGGACCACTAAGAGTATGTTCCAATTTGTCATTGACAAAGTGCGAAATAAACTCAATAATTGGGTGGCGACCAAATTATCTATAGCGGGTCGGGTGACGCTCGCTAAAGCTACTCTTTTAGCCATTCTGAATTACTTTATGCAAACGGTGGTCATTCCTAAAGGCAAGTGTGACCAAATTGAAAGTATCGCTCGCCGCTTTATATGGGGTGGATCTAATAATTCCCCTAAAACAGCTCTTGTTAGCAGGAAGAACTGTTGTCAACCCTTGGCTCATGGGGGTCTTGGCATCCGACCTCTTCATGCCCAGAACGAAACTTTTTTGGTTAAATTGGGTTACAATTTAATCACGCATCCGAATGATTTATGGGTTAAGGTTATTCGGTCTAAATATAAGATTTAGGGAAGTATTCCATCACATGTTGAACCAAAAAATGGTTCTTTCATTTCGAAATCATTATCACGTGTTTGGAAACTAATATTTGACAATGTCTATTGGTCTGTAGGCAATGGCAGAAGCACTCTTTTTTGGCAGGACGCGTGGATTCCGGGTATAGGTTCAATTTTGTCCTCGACAACCCAGCAGAATACGATCAACACCCACACATCCATTCGAGGTTAGAACACGGATGATGGACAATGGAATATTCCGCTCCTTGAAAACTTTCTTGATTGTGAGACTCTCTAGTGGGTCGTTGCCACTCATTCTCCTCGGGATGATTTAGACTAAGATCGACTTTTGTAGCGTTGGGATCAAGCCGGTGAATGTTCCGTAAAATCAGCTTACTGTCATCTGCAATGCACTCAATGGAATGTTCAAAATAGATGTTGGGATATAGCTTGGAACTACGATGGACCCAAACGCATTAAACATTTCATATGGCTGATCCTTCATCAAAGAGTTATGACCAACTCTGAACGGGCAAGGAGAAGACTAACAGCCAATCCTAATTGTACGGTTTGTTGTAACGACGAGGAGACTATTTTGCATGTCCTCAGGGACTGACACACGGAGCTGTGAGATATGGGATCAATTGATTCCAAACCAGGCTAAGATGAGTTTCTTCTCTGCTAATTTTCTTGAATGGTTCCAGACTAATCTTTTTCACATTGCAGATGGGACCAGGGAGACCTCCACTGGATGCACCTCTTCGGCATCCTTGCTTGGAGATTGTGGAAGCAGAGAATAACTTTGTTTTTAAGGGGGAAATTTGGTTTATCCCCAAAATGATCAAGTCAGTGTGGACCTGGGCAAAAGCCATTAAAAGCAATAATAAGGATGAAGCTCGGCATGGCAGACCACAACTTCAGAAACATAGATGGCGAAAACCGGATGGTCATTTTTTAAAGCTGAACACGGATGGCTCAGTGAATCAGACAACAATGGAAGCGCAAGGCGGGGGGGGGGGCTCCTTCGCGACAACAATGGACGTTGGATCGCTAGATATTACCGAAACATCGGTCGCTGTTCGATTTATCAAGCGAAACTTTGGGCGGTGATGGATGGACTGAACATCGCGTGGAAGAAAGGAATCAAACATGTATCGTGGAGACTGACAACAGTGAGATCGTGAGAAGATTAAACTCCCCAAAGCACGTTTTTGATGATGCCATAACCCGTCGCCTAAGAAGCTGCCTTAGTGGTAACTACTATCTTGATCACCCTCATAAATCGGGAAGCTAATAAGTTATCGGACACTCTGCTCACATAGGAAGGTATAGTCCCTTTGGATTTCTGCAGCTGCAACGAACCCCCCAAATCCAAGTCTATCACCGTAATATAATATCACATCATCACTAAATTTTTAATGTGAACATGTGATATTAGACCCTTTAAACAAGATAATTTGAATCTTTATATTTACAAATAGAACAAATCAAATTGAGAAAATTATCTTTACATTAGACCTTTATAATATACAATCTAAATTCATTAATTAATAGATTAAATATCAATGATTATATAAAAAAATTATAATTATAATTTTAAACTGTATATTAATAATAAATTAATCAACAAAAATCAATCAATGACGTTTAGTTAAAAACAGTATACATATCGTTGGTGTCATGAAGTCAACCACCGGTTAATGTTGGAAGCTCGCCAGATACGTCATTGATCTTTTTGAGACTACATATAATTAAATATTAAAAAAATCTACTTTTAAAGAATAATTTTCAAAAAGTTTATTTTTTTTAAAATATTATTTTTTATATTCGATATTTTATTAGAAAAAAGATATTTCAAATAGAGAGTCGATAACGAAAAAAAAAAATTAGCATCCCATTAAGGGTTTAGCACCCCATTACGTCATGTATTTTAATTTTATAAAAATGTCATAAATAGTATCATAAATAAAGTTGAATTCGAATATTGTTAAGCAAAAAAATCGACCGAAGGACATATGACTTGTTGTAGAGAATTGGCTTAGACGTTTGAGTTGACGATAGCGAGGAAAAATATTCTAGTTGTATATATTATTTTTTACTAATTTAAAATCTTGGTATTTTGAATTTATTTATTTTTATTAAATTAAATTAATTATAAAATAATATATATATTTTAAATATTCTAAATTATTTAATAATGAACGTTTAATCACTCTTGCAATCACTGATGCTCGGACTCATAACCTCTAAGAATAACGATTCATTTAACAAACGAGGTAAATTGATATTTTGTATTTTTAAATTGTAAAAGAATAATAGAAAATAAAGAAGCTTAATTCATAATTTGGCCCTCTAATTATACTGTTTCTCATTTTCTATTTTAAACTCGTCTTCTTTCTTTTAATTTGGCCATTAAAGCATATTGTTTTCTGATTTTAAACTTGAAACCATTAGAACCAATAAAAACAAGCCACGTGGAATGCGATAAGAGCATAAACAAAACTAGATGGCTTGTGATATGAGTTGATTGGTTTAAATTTTTTATGAGTGCAAAAAGGAAAAGCAAGTATGAGGCTAATTTGTGAACTAAGCCTCAACCAAATAAGAGAGTGGCATTAAGGAGATTTCCTTGGGTAAACTACATGTTCAGTATTCAACTATCACTTTTATTCTGTTTTGGTCACTTAACTATTCTTCGTTTTAAAATTATATCTAACGTTACGTTTTTGTTTTATTTTGATCATTCACCATTAAAAAGTAGCAGTGATGTTGATATAACACCATAAGATAATATATCATCATCATTAATTCTTTTTTAAAATACCACATCAACAATTATGTTAATTTTTTAACTTCAGGTGACCAAAATGAAATCAAAACGTAATATTAGAAAAGTTTTTAAAAAAATAATAGTTGAATGACCAAAACAGATTGACAGATAAAGTACTAAATATGTAGTTTATTATTTTTAAATTCGACAGAAAAAATACTAAAAAGAAAGGAAAATCTAAAGGACGACAACCTTATTTAAAATTAAAGAACGATATAGAATGTGCGTAATAAAAACTATTATTAAAAAATATAATATTTTTGGTCGATCATAATTTAAAATGTTAATTTTTCCAATATTTTTTTTTATTACAACTAGGCATGTAAACGAACCGAACGCACATGAACGAAGGTATGTTCGTGTTCGTTCATTTAATAAATAAATGAACATAAACGAACACGAACATAAACGAACAAAATTTTTTTTGTTCATGTTCGTTTATTAAGGAATATAACTTGTTCATGTTCGTTCATTTAATAAATAAACGAACATAAACGAACACGAACATAAACGAACACGAACATAAATGAACACGAACATAAACGAACATAAACGTTGGAGACCCTACCTTCCATTGTTCTTTCATGAAAAATAGTCGACAATGCAAATCAACAAATCTACAGTGATAAATAGCGTAAGAGCTTATTAGCAGTGATGAAATGTTTGAAGATATTAAATATTTCGATCGATCTTTTAAAGATATTAAATGATTCGCACGACTTTAATTTAACGCTATAACATTCATTTTCCGCTATTACACTCTTTTTCAGAAATTGCATAGAAACCTTTGTTTTGTTTTCTGGCAAATTCTATATATTTTTCTTTTTACTGATGCTCATATACTTCCGATTTTTACCTTTATCTTCCCATCTATTTCTAGAAAGAAGTATTATGTTTTCTTGAGTTTTAGATTTGAAGATACCCACAATAACTTTACATATCAACTATTAAGTCAAATAAAACAGAGAAAGATGAAAACAGACATGTAAAACTTCATATTGCACTATAATATAACTTGTTTTGAATCTTTCAGAGATCGTCTCCACTCTCCAGTGAACAATAAGATTTGGAAAAAAATGGGGGAAATGAATATAAGAGCGAGGTGTCTCACAGGTTAACATATTGGATTTAATCTCCAAATAAAATTGGGTTAATTATAGAGTTGGTCATCAGAATATCAGATTAATATTTTTAAGATACTTACAAATTGGTCACCGAAATTGATTTAAGAAGATTGGGTTAAACATAAATGAATGAACATAAACGAACATAACCAAACGAACATAACCGAACGTTCACGAACCTAAATGAACGAACGAAATCTATGTTCATGTTTGTTCATTTAATTAAACGAACAAAAAATCTTGTTCATGTTCGTTCATTTAATAAATAAACGCACATAAACGAACTTCCTAATCCTACCGCACGGTTCATGAACGGTTCGTTGAACGTTCAATTCATTTACAGGCCTAATTACAACCTTTCTATGTCGTTCTTTAATATTAAATTAAACTGTGGAATAATAATTATATAAAAAGGTATTGAGCTAACAATGGTCAATCTAAAATATCTGAAGGATAAAAAGGTAAATCCACCAACATAATCCTACCGCATTCTATCTCTTCTTCTTCGCTAAGCTTGCTATCCTTTTCCCCCCTTCTAAAACAGCTCTCTTCCATGGCCGAAGCTAAAATTAGCTAATTTTATTTTTTCAAAAATAAAATAAAATCTGGAATTTCATTGCAATGGCCTCAATCTCTACTTTCCTTACTCTGTCACCTAAGTTTCGTCTACTAACTTCAAAACCTTCACTTTCTCTCAATTTTCCAGGAATCCAACCACTAACTTCTCCCTCAACGTTCTCGAGAAAATCCGGGAATTTTTGGAGATCTAGGGTTTCTTTTCCGGTAATTAAGGCAAATCTTGATGTCGGAAGCAACGCGATTAGACCTGGAGGTGCGGTCGAGACTGATAAGTTACCGTCCGATGTGAGGAAACGAGCAATGGAGGCCGTTGACGCGTTTGGGGGCAGGGTTACTGTTGGAGATGTTTCGAGTAAAGCTGGGCTTAAGTTGAATCAAGCTCAAAAGGCTCTTCAAGCACTGGCTTCCGATACTAATGGCTTCTTGGAGGTATTTTGTTTCTGAACTTTCGATTTCATATAGCTTCCATAAATTTGTTCGATTTTAGGGTTCTTGATAAGTGGAATTACTTTTTGAACCGAAATGCCTAAGTAGATTGTGAACTGATTAACTTCATAGAAGTTTTTCTTTGCCCGTTCTCTCTCTCACACACAAGTTGATTTTTGTTTTGAAATGAGGCTAAAATAGATGTAGATATGGTCTGGAAGTGATCTCCAATACTTTTAAATCCGTTTATGTAGCTATACTAATATGCTGCTTGTTGTTGGTTGTTGGAGTTGAGAGAGTTTCTATAGAGTTTATGGGTTGAACATACAAATGACAATTGCATTTTTGTTTAGTAGTTGAATTAACATATGCCATATTGAAAATACATGGTTTTGTTGGCCTTAAAAGTGTTTATTTCAAGAGCTCTTGTAGCTATACTAATATGTCTGTTTTTTCTCCTTGCTGAAGTAATATGGAAACTGCCTTTGTTATGACTTATTGTGAGCCTTTGCTGATCTCCATATGGGGATATCATATTGCTTCTTGGAACTTGTTCTAGTATTATGATATCTATTTTTGGTATTTTTGAAGTTCTTGATTTGTGAGTACCATTCTTTTCAAGATGCATTTAACAGGTTTCAGATGAAGGCGATGTCCTTTATGTCTTTCCAAAAGATTATCGTGCAAAACTTGCTGCCAAGTCATTTAGGATAAAATTTGAACCTTGGGTTGATAAAGCTAAGGTCAATTTTCATTACCTTTTTTTCTTTTTTTAGGCTAAGGAGAAAAATCCTTGATGTAAAACAATATGATCAATAATCTAGTCTTTTTCTTGCTTGGCAGGCTGCACTTGAATATTTAGTTAGAGTTTCTTTTGGGACAGCGCTTATAGCTTCAATTGTTCTTGTTTATACAACAATCATTGCCCTGATATCAAGTAGAAGGTACCTACTAACCTTGACCCTTTGGAATTATTATAACAACATCATTCTACACCAGTGATTTTGTTGAAATCAAGAAGCTGACAATATGATCTGGTGACAGCGATGAAGACAATCGGGGAAGACGAGGCAGATCATATGACACAGGGTTCACTTTCTACTTAAGTCCAACTGACTTGTTTTGGTAATACTTTTTAGATTATGAAGAACTCTAGCAGTGCTTTACTGTAACAGGATGTTAATTACAGTTTGGAATTGTCACTGATTGAGCCAACTAAGAGCTGCTGATGGACAAGATTAAGTAGATAAACTTAGGTTATGAAGTAAAACTTTGTTTGCTAAATTGCTCTAGAATCAATAAACAGTTTGTATCGTGATAGAATTTCTGTTATCCATGTTTGGGTACATCCAATAGTTTTATATTTATTTTTATTTCATTGAGTAAATGAGATTAGACCATCGAATCACCATATTTTATGCTATAATCTAATGTTAAAACATGTTGCCTCTGTAATTTGTATTCCTTTCTTACGTTCAAATGCTTACATAACCTCATTCTCTGATTTAATTTTATATAAGGTACTGGGATCCATATTATTATAGGAGGCGACGATTACGAACTGATGATGATGAGAAGATGAACTTTATTGAATCTGTAAGATATAAGATATGGAATAAATATATGGATCATGTAGGGTTTTGCTTGGTTGTGTTACACTTCAAAGAGTTTAATCCATCTGTGACTTTTTTAGGTTTTCTCTTTTGTATTCGGGGATGGTGATCCAAATCAAGGAATTGAAGAAGAAAGGTGGAAGTTGGTAGTACTTCAAAACTAACTTTTCTGGTCAATGCGTGAAACAGTTAATTTCATCTTTTTGAAAGTAGTTTTTTCTGGTTATTAAGTGTTCTATTCTCGCAACAAAGTTTCGCTGTTTTCCAACCAAAATTTGCAGATTGGACAGTACATAGCTAATAATGGAGGTGTTGTCACAGCAGAAGAACTGGCTCCTTATCTTGATTTATCGACCACGAATGGAGCATTGGTATGATTAAAAATTAAATTTAATCTTAATCTAGCTTGTAATTAGCTTGCAAATTATTCTTAAGCATTGCTTTGAAAGTCGTATATTGTTCTTTTGCCTTGAATTTGAAATATTTTCTCTCACAATCACAGTTGTTTTCATTCACTCTTTGCATTGGTTAAAAGGATACAACTATGCTTGGTCTGCCATTGCAACACCTAAACAAAAAAAATTATTAAATTGACTCATTAGATCTCAAATATTTCTTTATTTGCATTGTTGTCCCAGCACACTGTCAATTTATGTCTGCATTTGTATGACAATGATCATATAATCAAATAGTCTTTGACACATAATCATATATTTATGGTTGCTTGCATATTTTGCTGTCATAAGTTGTTCAGTCAAGTAGTTTAGAAGTGATAAGCAGGGATTAAAATGTGGCAGGGGCCGCTAATGTTTTTCGCAATTGTAGATGTTGCTTATGTAATAGCAATAGCATTGATTATGATAATTGTTGTGAAATTTCTCAATCTTACACAACTTTCCCTTAAGTAATTAATCATAATTAACAACTCTTTTATAAAATATTTGAATTGTTTATCACATTAGCTTAAAAATGATAAAAACGTTAATAGCTAAATGTATAGTATTGCCTAATAAGTTCTTCATGCAAGTTCTGTTTACAAAGCTCCTCAATCAGTATTATTCTGGTTTCTCCTTTTAACAAATTTGCTTAAAACTCATTGGAGAATATTCCAAATTCTCTGTTGAAAACTGTTTGAGGTTGTGGCTTTTCTCATTTCAAATTATTTGTCACTGAATTATTTTTACTAATTACTTCTTGCCTGCATCAAGGCTCCAAGGTGTTTATATTTGTTTCCATTTTTAGTTATTTGAACCTTTTCTTTCCTGCTCAATTGCAGAGTGACGAATCATATGTCTTACCGGTTCTTTTGCAGTTCGATGGCCAGCCAGAAATAGATGAAGAGGTAGCAGAAACAATTATATTCATTACATATAATGTTTGTGTGTCTGCGTACTATGATAAATTCCATTTATTGTCACTTTGTAATTATTCGAAATTAATGATTTTTAAGGTACCGATGTTTGATATGTGTCCCCGAGACCAAGGCATATGTGTCTGTATACCACGATATTCCATTTATTGTCATGCTAAAATGTAAATATTTGAAATTTATGATTTTGACATATGGTACCAGTGCTTGATCTGTGTCTCTAAGACCAAGAATTGAGTCATCACATGTTTCATTTGTGGAAAAGAGTTCCTGCCCTCTTGAAGTACAAAATTATTTTTGTAGGGAAATATTCTGTACAGATTTCAGTCTCTGCAGCGGACAGCTTCTTCTCAGCGGAGTGGAAGGAAGGAATATGTAGGAAGAAGATGGAGCGATTGGGTTGGGGGAATTGAGAAATTTTTTAAGGAGAAAAAGTGGCAATTTAGGTCCTCTCTTTCTCTATATGTGTGTGTTTTATATAGTGCATTTATTTGGTGAGAATTGTTCTATTATGTAGTTTATTTGTATTGATAAGCATTTGTTTTGCAGTAAAACGAGCTCATCAGAGAGAGCGATGGTCATTGGTTTAGGTGCAATTAACCTCTTTGGAGTTATTATTCTGGGAGCCATGTTAAAGTAAAGTCCTCTCTCATTGTTATTTTTCAGTCTATGCTTCATATTTTCTCTCTCTAATGGTGCTGCTTTTATTATCGTTTGAAGAGATACTGCTGTTAGACCAAGTGGATTTATCAATTTTGTCATGGACATATTTCCTGTACTTCAGGTATGATTTGTGTTTCTTTCATATAGATAGGGTGATTGAACAGATAGTTGTAACTAGAGGGAAAAGCAAGAGGTCATTATGCCTTTTACATTTTCTTCTGAAATGAAATGTGCACGCACCATGATGCATAACAAGGTTCTTCTCTGTACCCATGTGGTTTTCTCTTAGTATCTGGATTTGATTCTCTTTCACTTCCGACACAACAGGTTACATGTTCTGACAACATGATGAGAGGATGTCGGAATCTCTATAATGTTACAGATGCATGCACTTTGGTTTTGTCTTTAAAATAAGTTTCATGTTCTGAGGTCTTGATATCTGTCCTATATAAAAGAATACATGTATTATTATTACAGACCGGCAAAGTTACAAGACTTGAAGTCTGTTGCTACTTGGTAATAGATACGGCATGTAGAAGTAAATAAAATTATAGAATTTCTCTTTTCTTTTCGGCATGTGGAAGTGTGGATAAAAATTTCATGTCTTCTTCCATGCTTGAGGAAATGAAATATTATGAACGTGGATAAAGTATTACTCGTTAACAGTTTAGAAGATTGAAAACTCAAGTTTCTTTCCCATGTCTAGAATGAAATCTACTTCTGCTACTCTTTCAAGATCTATATAAAACAATTCTGTTGCAGATCTATGCTGGTTCTTTCTTTGCAATTCCTTTGGTTCGGTGGTTCTTCATTCGTAAAAGGAATACTGATATAGAGAAGAGAAACCAGATAAGAAAACAGTTTGCTCAAGCACTTGAATCGCCTGATCTTTCATTGAGGCGGAAGGTAATCATCTTATCACCTGCATTTGGAATTATTTTAATCAAGTTTTAGGAGGTGTGTATAATTTTCCGCTGAATAAGCAGCTTTGCTGGTAATCTCTTCTATTCCTTAATAGATTAATTGCACGTCATTTATTTGCAACTTTTATCTTCCTAAAATAAAAAATCCCATTGGATCACTAGTATGCAATTTCTGCATGATTACATCTCTATGTGATCTTGCCTTGGTCATGAGAAAATAAATGGGATCAGGTTCCCTGAGACATCACTGATGTAATGCGGGAATATTGCCTATTACAGTTTCACCCTTGTACAATAATGCCATTTATTTTAAAGCCGAATTTCCTAGTTTTCTTGTATAAGGTCTGATTGGTAAATCTATTCTTGTGGAATAATCTTTATTTACTTTCTGTATACATTCCAGCTACTGAGCGCTCGAGATATGGCACAAAAAACAGTCATAGGACCAGATCGCATTGTGTATAGTACCGACAGAGATTTAGTTGAGCAAGACTACGAGGCACAAGAGTGGGATAGAAGATTCCGAGAAATCGAGAAGTCAGAATAAGAAATGCCGATATGGACTGTGGTCATGTGGTAATTTTCCCAACTTTCCTTTGCTAAACCCTAAACCTTAAACCCTATAACCGATGAGCTGCTATTCTGACAGTTCCATATTTACATAGCTTCAGGCTGCTCGAGTCGGTGCCTATCTTACTGGAGCGTCCTTTTATGAAGCGATTGTTACAGTAAATGGAACCTGTCAGTTTGAAACTGTTGATATACCATTGATGGAGGAGGCAATTCTACAAAAGAAAACCCGTAAATCTCTGCTTCAGTGCTGTCTGGAGGGGGTAATAATACATATATTTTTCACTGAATTGCCTCGCACTTCATTTATCATATTAGATTTACAAAAGGTGAATTCAAATCCACTTTATTTGTTTTCACCACCTTATGTTTCCATTTGAAAATAAAAAAAGGGCATGTTGCGTACTGTAAACTGTAAATGATCCATCTTGTAAACCACTTCACTGTTTTTACAGTGTTGAGACTCCGATAGATCAGTGAATACATACTTTATTAGGTATTAAAAAAAGAACGTTTTGGGTCTTAAATTGTACACTTCAATATATCATCTGAAAGTAAATCATGAGCACCTTATTACTTAATGTTGAATTAGGGTTATATATATATATATATTTGTCTTTTCGGTTTAAAGGCTTCACTTTGATTAATCGTCTGCGTCGTACATCTGGTTTTAGTGGGTGAATTTTCAATGGATTTTTTGCATAAACGACTCAAACTTAAGACATTGTTTAAGTAATATCAAGCTACTTATCATTTAAATTAACCCTTACTGGTTAGGGTTAAATATCTTAAATCTTGTTCAAAAACCTGACGCAAATTCTATTTTGTTTAATAAAGGATTAAATACAAAATTGGCTCTCATAAAATGGGGGGGGGGGTGGAGATCAAGTAAGCTTTTGTTTAAAAGGTTGAATCAAATGGGTCTTTATTAGAAAGGTCTAATGATATTTAACCTTTGATTTGTTTAAAAAAAATCTTTTAATATGTTTTTCGAAGTTTTTCATTTTTTACAAAATTAGAGTATCACTGTTGTCATAAGAAATAGACTTGGTTTGGAGGAAGATTTAACCCAATAATTTGACGTAAACGAAGAATTTTACAAGTGAACTTGAAACAGCATATATTTTCGTGTTTTTAATACATTTTCAATTTTTTTTGAGTATGGGGTGGGTAATTACATGATAGTATCTATCTATTGATAATGCATATACATCATACAGAAACAATTGTTCGAATCTATGATTTTACATTATCATTGAAGTCACTTAATGAGTTGTTAACTGATATTGATTTTCCATCAGTTAAAATGTAATAAATTTGATGGTTGACCAATATAGCTCAAATTGAGACCAGCTTTAAGCTAGTGAAAGATCTTGAAAGAAAAGAAAGTTAACAATATGTAAAAGTAGATTGTTGAGAACTTGATATACTTTGATGGCCACAAGGCCTGATATAATACATCTTGTAAGTCTCATTTGTAGGTAAATGAAATATTCAATTTTGGATGTCTTTGTTATTTTAATTTACGATTATGTAATCAATAACGGGTCTTACTTATTAGGCATATTCTTTCAGTTATTTTGTGTTGTTGAATAGTGTTAGTGGTGAATTAGAGCTATTAATTAGGGATGGGGTTTTTGGTCCACCCGATCCAACCCGAGAATAAGGAGTCTTCCACCCGAGATCTGGCCCAATCCGACCAAAATAAGTTATCACCCGAACCCGACCCGTTATATAACTTAAAAAGCAGACCCGAAATAATAAAAAATTATTTTTATTCAATGAAAACAGTGACTTAATTGAAAAAATAAATATATAGATGAATATTATTGTAGTTATTCCTAAATATTTAAGATGAAATTATATATTTTTTCGGGTCGGATCGGGTCGAGTATTTTTCACCTTAAACCCAAACCCAACTCGACCCGAACATCACATTAAAAAAACCTAATCCGATCCGACCTGAACCCAAATTTTTTAAAAAAAATCTAACCCGATTAGGTCGGATTCAGGTCGAAACCCATCAAATTCGAGTCAAAATCCGTCAGATTCGGATCTCATACCTATCCTATCTATTAATGGTGAAGTGTGTTTCTTTATTTTTGATTAAAAAAACCTGAAAATACTTGCATGTGGTTCTTTTAACTTTTCATTGCCTTGTAGGCTCCCCAAAAATGTATAGAATCTTTGAGTATTTCTTGGAAATCTCCAAATATTATGAGTAATTTATTTAAATAATTATTAGAAAATAGTGATATTTTTTAGTTGTCCTCCTAATTCTTCATAATTTTACCATGACTGATTCAGATCAATTCGTATTGTACATCTAACCAATAACAAATCTAGAATTTTAAGAAATGATCTTTTTTTAAAAAAAAATAATATTCTTTTCTTAAGAATAATAAGTAAGCAAATTTTTTTTCTTAAAACATTAAATTTAATTGAACCTTTTATCCAAAATAATGGGAATGCACACTCCCTAGAGGACTTAGTGCATTCATCGCTACATCTGATTTTGGTGAGTGAGTCTTCAAGCGAGAATTTTCTGTATACACAAGACTACAAACTCGAGATCTATTTAAGTGATATCAAGCTGCTTATCATTTAAACCAACCCCGTTAATAAATATAATGATTTTATTTCGACTGTTGAATAAATATTTGTTGGGATATATGAAGCTCAAGTGACAACCGAAAATATTGTCAAGAGGGGGTGAATTGACTTTTTGATAATTTTAGGGAGTAAGAAGATTTAAAGGGATAGAAAAATGATGCACAAAGATTTATAGTGGTTTGACTTTCTCAACCAAAGTCTACATCCACTAGTCACTACCTAAGCTCCTCACTTAAGATTTTCCAACAAATTAACTAATTTATTTTTTCTTTTTCAATGATCAATAGTAATCTTTATAACTCACTAGTTCTTCACTTGGCTAAACTAGAACCAATCCCCTTTAAAAAAAGATAAAAAGAAGTAAACAATAAAACCTCTGAAAAGTAGGTGTTTACAAAGTTAAGCTCACAAGAACAAAATTATTTACAAGATAAAGTAAAATAGGAATGAAAAATTCTTCTCTTGTGTTTGATTGTTTGGATAGATATTCTAACTCTTCTTCAAGTGTCTTGAAGAAGAGTTTGTGACCATTTCTAGCCGTTGGAGATGATTTGAAGTAGTTGAGGATGGAATTTCGTGCAAAATAAAGATGCCCGGTACAGGGAGTATCAGTAATCCTTTTATGGGTATCAGTACTTCCTTTGTTATTTTTTTAAAAATAAAACTAGTCATTACTAGCCGTTAGGCCTGACAGTATCGATGCTATCCTTCATAGTATCGATACTACTATGTAAAGTAATATCGGTACCCCTTTAGGTATCAATACCTATTTTGCATTCTGAAATTTGAGCAAACTGGTAGTATCGATACTACTTTGAGAGTATCGATACTTCTTTTACCTTTGGTATCAGTACCACATGAACAATATCGGTAATGTTCATATAGTATCGATACTGTAGGAACAATATCGATACTTTGTACTTTGAAAATCATTTTTGTGCTCAAATTCTAATTTATTGGACTTTGAATTATTTTTAAAAACTTTGAACATATTCAACTCAAGTCTAAAAACATTTTGCCTTAATTTGTTATATCAAAATATTATAAAACATGATTCAACAGTTTTTTTATTTATTAATCATATCATTAATATTTTATTTTGGTGTGAATTAAATTACCGACCATTATCTGATTAATAAAATTGTTAATATAACAATTTTAAAATTTATATAATAACACATTTAATTTTTATATTTACACATTTAATCAATTTAATCCTCATTTTAAATAATTTTAATCTTTAAATTTATAAATTAATCCCAAAATCAAACCAAATGATCTGAAATCCAAAAAATATATACATATATGGTTCACTTTGCTTCTTGTCATGCTTTTCTACTAACCATCAATTTCATCTTCATCCCTACTTTTAAACTCAAACAGTCAAACAACACCATTTGCTTTTAACTTTTAATTTTTTTAAAAAGAATCTTAACCGATCAATCAGTGTTACATTTGCTCAGTTAAGACCGTTAATATATTACATTTAATTTAATTTCAAGAATATATTTGATCATAAATTTATAAATAAACACTCATTTAATCCAACATCTCAAGCACAAGTTCAATGATTTTCCTTTATTCTTCAAGGACAAATTTGGTATTTAAGCCTTTAAAAGAATTGAATCCCATTGCAGAACTCAGATTTCACTACCCTAATAAGATGGCAAACTTAAAACCCAAGTGAACTGCACAATACATCCACTCATCCATATTTGAGATGACTTTGGAATATAGGTAATGATATATAATAAATGCACATATATAATACAGAATTAAGCATAAGATAATATACAGAATTAAACAAATTTCTTAGATGAGTTGCAGTGGATCACATATATGACATTAGCTAGTTTTGTATTGCAGAAAGCAGCAAATTCTAAAGGCTTGCTTACCAAACTTAGAAAGTAGTCTGTGATAGTCGGCTACTCCACTTTCCACGGGAGCATATCGAGTAATCTGCGCCACAACTTTACTCACAATTCATAATTTTGTACACCCACAGGATAGCATATGACATCGACCCTCCAAAGAATGATCCAATCAATGCATTTGCAAGTGCAACCCGTTTTGCACATGATCAGTGATTATATGCTCAATGATTGTTGCAAGAAATGACTCACACAGAACCGGAAATGTCAACAAGTGCAAAAATACAGACGGTGAATGCAAACGTTGGTTGCACCGACTATGAAGATGCAATGATATTCCATCAACCAGCAAATTGACCACTTTCAAGTGATACAGAAGAAAAATATACCTGATTATGGGATAATGATTAGTTTTATTTCCATAGCCGCAATGATAATATATGCACACCACATATAGATGTAACAAACATGTGAAGGAGAACAATGATATCATTAATCTCTTTATTCAGCATATAAAGACTTGTGGAAGGGGATTCAAGCATTCAACAAGTAATAAACAATTTGATTCATTGAAAGTTATCCATAGAACTTGCATATTAAAGCCTAAACATTTTTATGGGAGCGTAAACAAATCTAATGTAAGCAATAAACATGCAATTTGTTTAAGCATAATTAGCCCTTACATGTCCATAAGCTAAGTACACCAAAAGGAACCTTATGAGCCCTTTTGTACCCCAGATTTGACGTTAAATGTTCAAATTAAAAGGAGAGATCTTTTTTTTCTGTCCATTGCATGAAATAAAGACAACATCATCGGGAAACATGCTTATAGTTTGCCGCTTTGGTCTCTCTATCAGACCAGATAACAAGTCATGTAATCTCCAACTCATATCAGCATAATGTATTTCAGCATCTCAAAGGTGATCGTACAAACAAGCATGAAAAGGGTTTTATATAGAGAATGACTGAGAAGCTAAAAGTGTAGGTAAATCATTTGATGATCTAAATGCATCCTTAAATAGATCATTTGAATTTAGCAGTCATAAGTAGAGTAAAATGAATAGAAGATTGCACATACAAATCATGTGCTTACCTAAAAGTGTAAAGGCAAATACTATTGCCAGTATCATTTTTATGGATCTTTGATTAACTCTAATGAGAGATGAGAATCTATCAAATCTGACATTACATGCCCCAAGCCTCCTTCTCAAGTGCATGACCTTAACCAGAAACCCACGTAATCCCCTGAGGCCATGGTCTCTAGGTGCTGAACTTGGTCCAATATGCCTACCCTGTTGAAGAGATGCAGACTATAAGATGAGGTCATTGACAATGCAACAACGGTTACAGAAAGACTGACAAAAGTGTTACAAAAAGATCAAGCCTAAATGGACAGGATTGAGCCCAAAGCATACGCATCCACCAAAAAGAACATGCCAGAAACATAGCTAAAACATAACCAAAGAAGAAACAGGAACAACAAAAACCGAAGGAAGGAAACCAAAACGAAAGAAAAGAAAAGCCAAGCATGGAGCGGCAACGTCTATGGCACATCCCACCACAGCAGTATTTCCCCCACATCCGCGGGAGCTCCATCAGAAGATGGCTTTGAGTCCCTCCTTGGGACTGCAAGCCAACCGTCTGGCAGCAGAAGAAGAAGGGCTATCAGATTAGACATGGCATGAAAAGGGAAAACCCTATAAAGGCAGAGAAAGAGCTTTGAATTCACTCAATCCAGAGCTGCTGTTGGAAACCAAGGCATTAGTGCAGGAAAGAACTCAAATGAAAGGTAGAAAAATTAGCCTAGAGGTCGAGACCATGAGAACATGAAGCAATGGGATTCTCTGGCCCAACAGAAACCAGCAGAAGAAACAAACAAAGCAGGCATCAGCAAAGAGCAGCTGCAAAGGAGCTCTCAGCCCAGTCCCTTGGCCATCCATGCTCTCCTTCAGACACAGGATGCAGCCTGGAATCATGGTAGAGTGGTGCAGAAAAGGGATGGATCAAGAGGACAAAGCAGCTAGTGGAAAAGAGTGAAAACTTGGAAAAAAGCAACAAAAAGAGACACAAAAGAAGAAGCGACGTGAGGTAAGGGCAAAAAGCCACTGGAGAAGTTTCTCCAAAGAGACAATACAGAGAAGAAAGCATACTAGAGACGCTAAGAACATATAGCAATGTTAGCAATTAAAGCCATATACTGTCTAGCAGTTTAATTCATGTCAAAAGAATAAAGCCAAAACCATAGTACAAAATGTTCAAGAAGTTCTGTTAACTGCTACTATCACAATCCTGAACTAAACTATCACCGTATCTTGACTACGGATCATGATAAGAAGAAACCATCAGCATGCCTTCCAAAGATTAATGTTAAGATGGATTGAAACGTTAGCAATGGTAATGAAACATACTCGTGCAACATGAGAAGCATCAATGTACAAAGGGGAATGCTCTTCTTCTCCGTCTTTTAATTGCTTTGTATAATTGCTAGGAACCCTACTCCCATATGCAGTCCATAGGTTATTGAAGAACCCAAAGATATTCACTTGGCTGGAAGAGCCTCTCAACTCATTCCCATGGAAGAAACACTTAGGTTTGCCTTCACTAGCTTCTAAATCCCAACTTCCATCTTCAACATTCCTATTGCAAGAAGTCTCTTCGAAAGAATCCATCGAATCTAGACCCAGCTTTATGTTTTGAGAATCCTCCTTCCTTAGATTACTCTCCTCCATAGAATCATAACGGCTAGTATCAGCAAAACCATTCATATTCACATCTTCAATTTCTCCACTTCTATTTCCAACAATTCCAGCATCTGTTGAGCAAGTTGATGTGACTGGATCAAGAAATCTTTTAAATATGTCATCGTCATCCAACTCATAATGGTGATTGCATTCATTATGAATCCCTCCAGAAAGAAATAATGCCAAATTATCTTTATCTTGTTCATTCAAGTTTTTCCATTCAGGGTTTTTCATTGTATTTCCCACTTCCATTTCCTCCAAGCTTTTATCAACATTATTTATCTGTTCTCTAATGGCACTAATAAACTGCTTATGTCTGAAAATCGCATCCTCCCTAGATTGAGACTGGTCCATCCTAGCTGATGAAGTAACTGCTCGTTCAAAATCTTCCAACTAAAAACGCAAACATTAAGAATAAGCAAATTAAAGAAACTATTAAAAGGAGAGTATGTAATTAAACTCAAGAATAAACGTGAAATCAATGCCTGCCATTTTGCTGTTTCAAGTGTGGTAACAAGATCGCGCCTATGATACCCAATCAATGTAAGCAGCTTTGGGTCATAATTATTAACTTGAACAAGAGTCTGTTCGTGCAAAAGAAGGCGAAAAATAGATTCCATCCTGGAAATATCATATAAACAAAGACAAATCATTAGTTTTGAACTTGCATAACTGTATCAATACAGTATATACAACAAAGGCAAACGGTGCAAGGAAATCAAAACCAAACTCACAAAACCAACATTCATTTATTTAGCTTCCATTGTTCAAATAATAATAATACCAATAATTTAGAGAAATTTCGAACACAATAAAAACAGAAACCAAATTCCAACAAGCAAAACAAGAAGGAAGGTTCGTGAGGAGAATCATCGAAAATGCAATTTAAACCTGTCAGTTGTATCTTGAACGACTTCGGCGGCTGAGAATAGAGGGTCGGATTCCCATTGAAGCAAGCTTGATCCCATTTCTTTGTATAATCATAAAAAAGGAATTAAATAAACCTGATGCAAATTTGAAAATTAAGAACTTTTGCTATCCAAACTAATAGGAAGCAGTGATCGACCAAATAAATGAAAGGGGATATTCTTTGAATGGAAATTTAACGGATTTAAAAGTGAAATTTCACTATAAACAATATTTTCCCTCTTTCTGCTGTAAATTGGGAATTTATTAGGGATTGGGTCAGTAGAAAAAAAAACAACAAATAAAAATGATGAAAATTGATACGTGGCCGCATGAAATTAATATTTTCTCCAATTTATATCAAATACTAACCTAAAATATCAATTATTTATTAAAAAGCTCTTAAGTTTGCACGAACCAAATTATCTTCGTTGTTGTTCTTAAATATTATAGGTTTTATCATCAATAACTGCAAAAGTAATATAATTAAAAATACTTAGAACAAATACTACTTTATAATCACATTAATTTAATAAAAAAATCTATTGAGTTTAATCCTAATAAAATATTTCATACACTACTAACAAAGTTTAAAAACTCCACAATTTTAACAGTAGACACGTAGATTTTATAGTTTGTTTTGTTGAGTTTCCGATTATTAGAAGTTATAAAATGATTACTCGAATATTTATATTTTCTAAATTTATCCTTTTTGTTAAAAAATTGATAATTGCTTGAGTTGGATCTTAATCTGCTGATTGAGATACGATAAAATTATACTTTAATGATATTTATTGGTAGTGTCTTTTTTCAAATATTGACTCGATGATATAATATTTCAAGCACTAGCTTGACGATATAATGTAAATTGGATTCAATCTACAAAATATAGCTCAAACAATTTTGAAATCATATTTTATCATATTATAGTCAACAAGTTAATATCCAGCTCAGACAACCATCAATTTTTAACGAAATGTAACGAGTTTAGAATATATGAATAGTTAGATGATCATTTTAACCTTTTAATAGTCTGATGACCCAACAAAAAAGTGTCCTATAACCGGGGATCATTTTATAACTTTAAATAGTCATAGACTTAACAAAGTAACGTCCTACAGTAGGACGATCATTTATGTAATTTACCCTAAAAAATATTTCATACATTACTAGTAGAGTTTAAAAATTTTATAAACAGAGTCAAGCGAATAATACGTGAATTTTAATATATAATAAAAATAATGAAATTAAATAATTATGAACAATAATTTGTGATTACATTTAAATATTGCTTGTGAAAATAAAATAGTTCAATGATAATATAACAAGTACTAATAGGAATGGGCATGGGTCGGGTTTTGGCCAACCCGACCTGACCCGTAAATTTTTCATCCTTCACCCAACCTAATATAATCCGAAAAATATGTACCCTTCACTCGATCCGAATTCGACCCGACTTTTTGAGATAAAATTCGAGCCCGACCTGAAATAATAAAAAATAAAATTTTTATTCAATAAAAACAATGTTTTAATTGAAAATAATATATATAGAGGGGTATTATTGTAACTATTCCTAAATATATAAGGTAAAATTATTTTTCCCCGGTCCGGTCGATATTTTCACCCTAAACCGACCGAACATCACCTTTAAAAAATCCTACCCGACCCAAAACTAAACATGAAATCTTTTTAAAAATACCTAACCCGATCGGGTCGGGTTCATGTCTCATGCCCATCCCTAAGTACTAACCTAAAATAGAAAGATATTATTATTTATATTTTTTTTCGAATAAAGAAAACAACTCTAACATATTTGGTTGGGAGATTTGATTATTCCATTCCTATCTCCAATTAAGGTGTACTCAGAATTATATTAAGGAATAAATTTTTATAAATTTAGAGGACGAAAAAAGATTATTAATAAAGAATATAAAGAAAATTGATAATTTTATCCCAATAGTACCAAATCCTCCAATTTTACAAAGCAAATCAACATAGATTAAGCTCAAATGTTTAGGATTACAAGTTATTGGAGAGATGAATGAACCAAGTGTAGATCAAGCAAAGACTATAGTGTTTCGAGCTTAGGAAAGAAAGAGGTAAGTAACTTTACCATTTCATATCTATGTTGATTAAACAATGTTGATTTAGAGCAAAGTATGTACGTGTGTAACTTATTCAATGGTTGGTGATTTGAGCATCATGAGATCTCCTAGTAGAGGTGTGAGTAATGGATTCATCAAGGAACTGGTGAAGGTGGATCAATCCTTAGAAATTTAATTTCAAGATCAAGTCTTCTAGTAACGTAAGTGTTTTTAAATATCATTTTAGGTGATTAAATTGTTGAATGAAGGTCTAAAATAGACCTACCAAGGGTTAACTTGTACTCGCATACCAAGCTATGAGTTCTATAACGTCATTAAGTCAACCTAATCGTAAATTAGGTTTGAGATATCACATTGAATTATTATAATTCAGATTTATTCAAAAACATAAGTAAAATAATATTCACTCAATTATACAATTATGAACGGTAAATTAAAGGACTAAATTAAATAACATATTAAATATAAAGGTTAAAGGAACAAATTTTCATATTTTAGGGAAATGGGTTTAGAATCCCACTAACTGGTTTTGATACCGATGCCCTAAATTTCGAAATCAAAAAACTAATTTCGATACCTAAAAATCAAATTGGAATTTGGTATCAAAACTGGGATGTTGAATTTCGAAACTTAAACCTCCAAGAATAACAAATTAAACTTTTTAAATCCCAAAAAAGATCTAAACTGAATACTTAACTTCCAAGAAACACATGTGATATACTTTTAACATACAAAAACACTTAACATGTAAGGCATATGCAAATCCATAACATATCAAATTATCATTAAACATGGGTTATACAAACTTAATCAATGTTTCCATTCATTTAATTAACTTACAAAGATCAATTAGTAAAATACATCAAACATATCTGTTGGTGCATCGTAACACACATCAATGTTCATACCTTATCTAAAATATATTGATCAAGGATAAACACACCTCAAACATCATGTATCAGAATATAAAATTGTAATTTAAGGCACGAATTTGACATGTGAATTTAATTAATTGTAATTTGAATTGAACCTATTAAAATTGAAATTAGGTTTGATATAAAAATAAGTGTCTAAACATTGCATCGAAAAACAATAAGTGCCTAAAGAATTTTTATAAAAAATAAGTGCCTAATATTTTCATCGGAACACTTTTAGGTGCCTAGACCATAACGGTCGTTAAGTAACACATCTCATGTTCTGATAATTTTGAAAATTTATTTAAAAAAGAAAAATATTTTTTTATTATTAAAAAATCAAACAGCAGACTGTGCCCCTTCTCCCTTCCTTTTTCCCCCTTCCATTATTCCTTAGTCATCGGTTGACCGGCTATTACCATTACCGTCACCTTCATCAGCACCGACGTCGACCTTCAATCAAACCCTCGTTGGCCTAACGTCATAAACTACCACCGTTTGTCGTGGAGAAGTGTTCAAAGATCCGTCGGATTTTAAGCCAACGTCGTTGTTTTTTGTCGATTACGGTCAATCCCCACGTCCATAAGTCACATTGCCACCACCATTGGAACCACCGTGCAATTCCGATCAAAACCCAAGTTTTTAACGACGATGGTGGCTAGAGATAGCCGGTGATGGTTGGTAATGAGGATTGAAATGAGATGATTTAAGATTTTAGGATCTTTTTAAAATAATATTTTCATTATTTTTTTCCTTTAGACATCAAATCATTTTTTGAGATAAAGTTTAAGCACGTAATTTAACTTGAAATTATGCAAAAACAATAAACGAATAGAGTGAAATTTGGAAAGTACAATAAAGTAATTATTACACAACACTAACTTCATATCTATCAATATAATGGATTGTTTTATAAGCTTAGTCGTTGATTTATTTCAAAACGCATTAGTTTAACCTGATTGTTACTTAGTATCTAATAGATACAGGGATCAACACCTTCTCATCAAGCATCGATAACAATGATAATAAACACTCCTTGTTGAGATAAAATGTCTAAGTAATTAACATCCCTCAATTCTCTCCAAATGAATCAATAACAAATACTGGTAGAGCTATAAATCATATGACATGCTAATTGGACCTAAAATTATACTAATAACTACTGGCTCAACAACACAATTTGAAATTAGAAATTATCATTTTAACTTATCAAAGTTTAGTATATTACTCATTTCCACTTATACACAATTTGACATTGCAGTTGGTATATTTACACATAGCAATCCAATATCTAATCTCATTACTAACATGAAATCGTGGTCACACATAATTAAATATATAATTTTTATATCAAAACATATATCAACATTATAACACCCCAACCTAAATCAAAAATAAGACTAAAGATGTCATATTGACCGGTCGAAACTTAGTTATAATCGAATAGGAACTAAATCAGACAATGAATCACTTAAACAGTCATAAACCATCTATTTTGAGACCAAATTATTAACCATGTCAAACATGAAGGTTCCGTAGCTATCACAATTTAAGGTTAGGGCTAAGAGTTTTACTTTTTATCACAATCCATTTTGAGGCTAAATTGTTAACTATAACAAACATGAGGGTTCCATATACAATTGATTTCCAAAGCATGATTGTTTGATGGTTTGGAGTTTTAAAGCATGAATTGATTGTGAATTGGCATGTATTTGACGTCTCAAGTTTGTTTATATATTATTCTTGACTATAGAACTATTATAAGTTGAACTTGTAGTTCAATTATGCATGATCAATCTTGATTTTGTAAATTGCCCTAAAAAAGGTCAATCTCTTAGAAATAGGATCGACCTATTGATTATTGGAATGAAAAGGACTGGTCTCTTTAGACGACAGATTGATCCCCTAAGTTCGGATTAGTGAAAAATCAGTTCAAATTTCCTTTTTAAGTCCCTAAAATTTGTACGGAAACACAAAACCCAAATCAAATCACATCAATAGAAAGAAACCACAAAACCCAACTCCACTAAAACTCAGAAAGGATAAAGATAAAAAAATGTACGGAAATACTCATGATTTGGTGCTCATCAGAAGATGAAGATGTTTATCATTAAATCATACTACTTTCTTTCTTACTTATGTATCTAAATTTGTTGATACAAAACTAAATTGAAGTCCATTTATCACAAATAAAAATGTTTACCAGATTCATCATTAGCCATTACAGTGCAGCAAATGATCATACGCAAAGAGGAAAATCAAGTGAAACCACCCAGTAACACGTATTTTTGTTTCTCTGAATCTTGATTCACAGAGAAAATCACAAAAGAAAATAAGGAATTCAACACCTGTTTTCTATTCTAAATCTCCCAGAATTCGCTCTTCTTCCTTCTTCAACCAAAGCAGCACGAGCAGACATAATCCCACGAGGCACCAAAGAATCATCGAATGCAGAACTGTCAATCCAGTCTTTCAAAAGCTCTTCCTGACCCCATATTTCAGGAATCCAAACCCTACCCGCCACTTCAATCCTATGCCTCTTCAGTTTCTCTCGACCATCATCATCTTCTTTGAAATCATCGGATTCTGCTTCCGATGAAGACCTTCGACGACGGCCCTTTAACGAGCTTCCTTCACATTCACATATTTCCATCCCTGAGCTGCCGTCGTCGGTGGGATCTTCCTGCGGCTGGAGAGGACTCCGGTGGTGGTGGGTCGTATTTTCCATGTCTTGTGGTTGTAATACGTTCATGGAGTCTTCTTCGTTGAGAGAGAAGATGGAACTTGGAAGATTAGATTTTTAAGCAAAGGGAGAATGGGTGGGGAGTTGGTTTGCACGTCATCTCTGTGTCTAATTTTTGTTTTTGTATGGCAACTAAGAATTTTACGTGTCTTGTTTTAAAGGTTGGTTAAAGATCGCATTTTGTGTGGCTTAGATCCGAGATCCATCTTTTTCTATTTAAAAAGGGGTTAATTACCCATTCATACATTAATTGTATCCGATTCTCAGTTTCATACATAAAATTTAAAAATTCTTAATTAACTACATAATGTTTTATGTTGTTAACGGGTATACCTATTTTTTTCACGGAAGATGACGTTGAACCATCTGACCTATAACAAACTGACACGTGACGAATTAAAAAAAATATTTTTTAAGATTTTATTTCGAATTTTTTTCACCTATTTTCCACATGGATTAAACGAGCACCCTAAACCCCATTTAATTTTAAACTACATTTTCCCATGTGGATTAAACAGTTCTCGTTTTTCATCGGAGAAGAAGGTTGTACATCGGAGAGAAGTGTGTGAACTGATGTTTCTATGCGAATACCCACTTCTATTATTTTCAAACTAAGGTTTTAAACAATCAGGGTTAGCTTTTCTACACGAGAGCAAGATTTCGTTGTTATTCGATTTTGAGGAATTTTTGAAATCTTAAAAAGGGGTTTAATCTTCTTCGTTTTCGTATCTGATTTAAGGTAAGTACCCTTATCTAAATTATAATAATTCATTCGATTTTTGGGGGAAATGTTCTTTGTTATTCGATTTTAAATAGGGGTTTGAGGTTCTTAGGTGTTAGTATTTTTTAAACGGTTTTAAATTGGGGTAATTTTTTAAAATTTGCTTTGTATGTTTGATTGATTTTAGAGAGTGACTATTGTTGCTTTTATATATTTGATTTTAGTGGAGATTTGAGGAAAATGACTGAATTGTAGAGAATATTTTGAAAGTGCAAGTATTTGTTTATTTTATTCATTCTTCATCTTTTCAGTAGAAATGCTTAAAAAATTGAATAAAATATTGAGTTAAATTTGTTCTTGTATATGTTAGGCTTGAATTGCGAAATGAGTGTAGACAAAACAATAATTGTTATGCACATGGGTGAGAAGTTTGTTAAGAACCCAGATTTGGAATATGTTGGTGGAGATGAGGTTGAGTGGGAAATTGACAGGGATTTATTAAGTTATTTTTAGTTAATTGACTTGGTACATAAGGTTGGTTATATAGCAGTAATGTGGTTTAGCTATTTGGTACCAGGAGATACTTTAAAGGATGTGCCTATAGTTTGTTATGATGATGCATATTTTAGGACTATGATTTTATATAGTAAGAAAGAGGCATTGCATGTGTATGTTGAACATGAAGTGGATATCACAAAATATGTTGATGAAAATCAATTAAGTCTAGAAAATGAGATGTTGTCTGAGTCACATGCTGGTGGTACATGTGATAATGCTAGTGGACTTAACAACTATGTAGGTGATACAACAAATGATGGTGGGGCCTACATGTTGAATGAAAACAATAATTTAAGTGAAGAAAAAGTGAGTGACTTTACTAAAGTTGGTGGGTACAGTAATGAGACAGACAGTGCAATAGTGGGCTTGGTTGATATTGAAGTAGGGGCTGAAGCAAAGTTTGAGGTAGAATCTCAGACTGAGATTGGGACAGAGGTTGAGAAGTTGAAAACTGAGACTAAGGGTGCTCAGGGTAAGATTGATAAATCTAAAACCGAGGGTGAGTGTGCTGATGGTGAGGCTAAAAAGTCTAAAACCGAGGGTGAGGGTGCTGATGGTGAGGCTGAGAAGTCTAACAATGAACGTGAGGGTGCTAAGGGTGAGGCTGACAGTGAGAGTGATAGCTCTGTTGTTGATGATGGTTTAGGCTTTATTTTTGCACAGAGAAATGGTTATGGATATGATGATGATGAAATTAGGGGAATAGGGGAAGAGTGTCTTAAGTTCTACAAGAAGCAAAATAGTAAAAAGCTGTCAAGTGATGATGTGCATGGGGAGCCCATTTTTAAAGATGTTGCAACTGGTCAATCCTCAAATATGAAGAGTGATAGGGATGATAAGGAATACATGGATGCTGATAGTTGAGAAGACACAAGTTATATTAATTTATCAGATGTTGGAAGTTATGAAAGTAAGGAAGATGCAGAAGTTGTTTACAAGAAAAATAACAAGGTATTTTATGACCCTTCTTTTTCATTCCCTAATTTAGCTCTTGGGTTGATTTTTTCTAGCATAAGACAGTTCCAAAATGTTTTAATTAATTATGTTGTGTCAAAAAGGTTTGATTATAATTTAGTGAGAAATGAGATAGACAAGGTCAGTGCAAAATGCAAGGGTAAATGAGGTAAATGAGATATTTATGCCTCTGTTGACAGTAGTGATGGGTTTTTAAAGGTTAAAAAACTAATTAGTCAGCATGATTGTTCACTAAACTTCAAAAAACTCAAAGGCAAACTACAAGTTTATAAGTAGATACTTTTTAAAGAAATTGAGGATTATACCAAAGTTAACTTTGTAAGAGATGCAACGTTTAGCCAAAGAAGAGTTACATGTGGATGTCCCTATCAATTTATGTAGTAAAGAAAGGATGAAGGCAAATGATGAGATTAATAGGAGGGTTACATATGAGTTTGACAGGTTGTTTGGCTATGTTGCGGCTGTAAGGTAAACTGACCCAAATTGTAATGTAGATCTAATGGTTGTAAGACCTAGTCCCAATCACCCTAAGATATTCAGAATGATTTATATCTGCTTTGGTGCAACTAAAGAGGGCTTTATAAACTATTGTAAGCTAATTATCAACTTAGATTATTGTTTTTTGAAATGTGCTTTTAATGGAGAATTACTAGTAGTTGTTGGAAGAGATACAAATGACCATATTTATCCAATAGCTTAGGCTATTGTAGAAGTGGAGTCAAGGCAATCATGGAAAGGGTTCACTATAATGAGTGACATGCAAAAGGTAAATTATTAAACTTTGTCTTATGTAAATCATTAACATTTTCTAAATTATCTAATCTCTAACTATAATTTTATTATTTAAATATGGGGTTTAACTGAAGAAATCAATATAGCTTTGCCAACTATGGAGCATCGTTTTTGTGCAAGACACTTTTATGCTTCTTGGAAAAAAAATCACAAGGGTAGTGAGTTAAAAAGCTATTTTGGACTTGTTGCAAGAGCACCAATGAAGGTGATTTCTATCATCATGCATCTAGATTGGGTGAGTTGCAAAGTAAAGCTTTAGAGGATTTGTTATTAAAAGACCTAGTACACTGGTGTAGGGTTTTTTTTAAACAACTTCTCATAGTGATGTAGTTGATAATAATTATGTTGAAGCCTTTAATGATGTTATTCTGCAATCAAGGTTCATGTCCATAATATCCATGCTTGAGTACATTAGGCATTAAGTAATGAATATGATTGGAAAACAGGAAAAAACTATGTCTTAGAAATCAATGTTTGGGCCTAAAATCATGGGAAAAAGTCAAGCCAATAAGGAGTTGAGTTCATATTGTCATGTTACTTGGAATGGTTCTGATGGATATGAAGTAGTGGGGGGAAAATACTTATGTTGTTGACATGAATGGAAGAAGATGTACTTGTAGGGCATGGGATTTAACTGGTATACCTTGACCTCATACTATATGTGTCATTTTGTTTAGAAAAGAGTCAATTGAGGATTATGTGTTTCATTTGTACAAGAAAGAAGTTAATGAGCATCTTTATAGTTGTGTCCTCCATGCATTATCTAGTGATAAGTTATGTCCGATGACAAATCTGGGTCCTCTAAATCCACCCATTGAGAAGAAAATGCCTGGGAAACCAAAAAAGAAGAGAAGGCAAGAACAAAGTGAAAGTAGTTGTGGAACAAGATTGTCTAAAAGAGGAGTAATACAAATATGTCAACTATGTTTCAAACAAGGAAATAACTCAAGGAAATGTCCTACTAAACAACAACCTCAACAGACAGTAGCAATACAATTGACATCAACACCACATGCATCAACACCATGAAAGTAGATGGATTGTCCCTTTGCATTTTGTGTTAAACTCTGTTAAAGAACTAGTAAATGATATGACTTTTATCATATTTTGTACAACTTTACTTTAGGAGGCAATCATAACTTATATATTTTAATCAATTTTATATATTTAGTTAAACTTTATGTAATTTGTCAAATATTGAATGGAAAATGGTCACTTTATATATTGTGTTAATCTTGAATGAAAATTTTGGTCAAGTTTATATAACTGCAAATTTAAATGAAGGTTAACATCTTTGGTACTGTAAATGTGCAATAGATGTATAAAAAATAACATTTCATAAACATTCAATTGTTCAAGTACACCAACTTTATACAACTAAAGCAAGCTTAAGATTAACAAGTACATAAAAAGTACACTATGAAAAACAACTAAAACAACCAATTCTAATCTATCAATTATAGTACACCAAAAAACATAAAAAACAATATCATAAGCTTGTACATAAAAGCTGCACACTTGGCCTTCCTCATCTTCTCCTCCACTTCTAACAATTTTGAGCCATCACTTACACAACAATTTCTTTTGCATTTCAGCAATACTTGAGCAACCTTCAACTCTCGATTATCTCTTAACAACATGCAATTTTCTGTCATAACTTCGAGAAAAATGTCTCTATCGTATTTGTCTCTAACATCTTCATCAACCCAACGAAAGAAGTTACATCCAGTGTCCTGCATCACATTTCATAAAGTCCAGTTAAAACAAAAGAATTAACAATGAACCAATATGGACAACCAAAGAATAAATCATAGTGAAGAATTTCATAACTAACCAATATGCATCACATTTCATAAACTCAAAAGAATTAACATGTAAATGAACTAACCTCGAACCAATTTGGGCAACCGAAGAATCACTGACCTTTGCTTAATTCTTTTCTAGAAGTACGAATTACAACTTTCTTCCCACAATCACAGACAATTTCTAAATAGATTCTTCCCTTTGATTTTGAGGAATATGATGACATCCTTTAAAAAATATAATGAAAAACAAATTCAAAACGAAA